TCATGGGGGAAGGAACGCCGGCATGGGGGCCTCTGGCCCTCCACTCTGCGAGCAGCCTGGCTGCAGGCGTCTGGGCGAGGCCAGGATCATGTGTAACTCATTACCTCCGCGAGCCTCCCATTTGCGGCCGCCTGATGACGCCGCGAGCGTGGTGGAGTGTCTGAGGCCACGGGGTGAGCATGACTACAATATTTTTCTGACACTAACACCTCTCTCTGGCCCTCAAGAAGGGCCGTGGAGGAGCCAGGCTGGGCCAAACACCACCCACACGCGCCCTCCGCCTTCTCCGCCTCCTGGCGCCAGACAGAGGAGGCCTACAGCTAGGCAGGCAGGAAAGGAAAGGAAAGGCCGCACCACCGGGGAAGGTGAGAGCAGAGGGAAGAGGGGAGAGGGGCAAGCAGGTCCAGCTGGCCCCCTTTTGGGTTTCTGTTCACAGGGAGGTAGAAGTGGTCGTGGAGGTCACGGGAGGCTGGGCGAGGGGACCCTGGAGGTCGCATTCTGCCATCAGCCCTTCCATGCAATTCCAGGGAGACAGGTGGAAGGGAAGCTATTCCCCTGGGGTGGCACAGTGGGGGGGGGGGGGTGCTGCCCTGCCCTTGGGGCTTGTCTGTCAACAGGGGGGCTCCGATGGGGAGGCTGACAGCTCAGACCCAAGGGAGCAGGCAGGGTCCTGAGACATGGCCCAACAAGGGGTGCAGAGAGGGGAGAGGTCCCTAGACATGGGGAAGCAGGGACTGTGGGCCTGAAGGGTATGGCAATGCACAATTCGGGAACTGGGCCAGACCGCCTCTTAGGGAGGGGACAGAGGAACCAACGCAGGTAACAGCCCCTCCCCTTCTCTTCTCACCTGCTAAGGGGAAAGAAGGGGAGAGATAAAGACAGGGTGGGAGGGAAAGAGAAGACAAGTTAAGAAAGGGGGGAGGTAGAGGAGGGGATGGGGCTTCTCAGTGTATTACCCCTGAAATAACAAGTTGAGGCCCTAATGTCTTTAAAGTCCCACCTGCATTCAAGTCTGAGTCACACCTTAATATCGGGGCTGCATTTTTGCTACTTCGCTTCCGCAGATCCTAATAACCCCAGGGCTAAGAGGAGACACTCACCTCTTTCCTTTAAGGGGAAAATCCTGGAAGGGACTCAGAGCCCTGCAAGTCCTACCAGACGTTACTGTTTAAATCTACTCAGGGCCCATGAGGCAGCTTGGGCCTCCCTCCCTTTCCCCATCTCTGCCCCCCTCTGCTTTCCAATCAGCCTCCCTCTCCAGTTACACTCTCCAGAGATGAGGATCAAAGAACAAAATCCTGGGGAAACAGATCAAATCTGGCTTGAATTTCCCCAAGTCAGAGCTTACTGGTTTCCTCTTAGAAATGAAAGGGAAGAGGGGGAATGTCAAACCAGAAACCCATGAGCTTAGGTGGCTGATTTCATCTCAACACTGGGGTCTCTCTGGGTTCCTCACACCGACCCCCCATCCCCATGCCTGGAGGCCAGATCACTGAAGAGTGGGGGAGACCAGACAATTTTGAGATCAGGCTTAGGATGTATTTGTTTTGTCACCTTTAGATTTCAAGAACCCAATGTCCATTCATTCTGCCATTCATTCACCCAATCAAGAATTAGTAAGCACCTACTATGTGCCAGGCTTAAGAGCCATCAGTCAGCAAAACAGAGGTGCCTGCTTTTGTCAAGCCTATATTCTTCTCTCAAGGAACAGACAATGAATATAAACATAATAAAATAAGAATTACATAGTGTGTTAGCGGGGGAATAGGACTGTGGGAGAAAGGAAAAAGAGAAGCAAGGGCCGGGAGTGCAAGGGGACAGGAAACCTGATGGGGAAGGTGATATTTGAGCAAAGACTGGAAGGAGGTGGAAGAGCAACCTTCCAGGGAGCACAGGCCCCAGGTGAGTATGCCAGCAGGGTCAAGGTGAATGTCCGCAGCCTCCTTGGCTACTGTTAGCACCTGGGTTATTACTCTCATTGAGGGGGGATGTTTTGTGAGCTTTCTCAGGGCAGCATCACGTTCTGATTTAAGTTTTCAAAGGACCACACCCTGAATGCAATGACCAGATCTGTTTCGACACACAGAATTCTAGAACTGGACAGAACCTCACAGAGACCTCCCCTCTGCCCTGCCCCCATTTGGCAGATGAGGATACTGAGGTCCAGAGAGGGATGTGACCCAGTCAGGTCACACGGCCCTGGAGGGGTGAGTCAGCTTCCACCTCTCATCTTCCAACTTGTGTCCGTATTTCAGGAGTGCCGGGCCTCAGGAGACCCCTGAGGATTCTTACTGGCAGGGCTCTAAAACTGTTCTCTGATGGGATCTCTGCCCTGGGGGGCCTGGAAAGCACAATCGCTGAGACTACTATTATTTTCAGCCCTTCTGGTCCAAATGGTCTTTTTAAATCTGGGGTGCAGAAAAAGAGCAAGGATGATGTAAGGGGTATGAGGCCTGGTGATGCTTCAAACCCTTGGCCTCTCCCTGCCCTGCCCCAACTGGCACCCCAGGCTGGCCCTAATAGTCCTCCAGACTCCCCCACCGTGCTGTACCCCAGTTCTTCCTTGCCAAGCCAGTCCTCTTTCCTGAGGGGCTGGTAGGGAGTAGGCAGGATCAAGGATACGAAAGCCAGCTTGGTCTATGCCGATGGGGGAGTGCTGAGCACTGGCCAGCGACCCAGCCTTCCCAGAAGACAGGAACCTGACAGAAACATTGACCTGGCTTGATGTGACACAGCTGGTGGCTCCCTTCCCCACCCTCCTCTTCTGTTACAAAATTGTGTTCAGTCTTTAAAGCCTTTTCTGGAAAGACTTCTCCTAACTTCAGTACCCAAGTGCCCTCCTTATCCATGGGGGATACTCCCGAGACTCCCAGTGGATGCCCGAAACCACCACGAGTACCAAACCCTGTATGTATTCTGTTTTTTTCCTATTTACACACACTGTGATAAAGTTTAATTTCCAGATCAGGCATAGCAGGAGATTCACAACAATAACTAATAATAAATAGAACATTCGTAAGAGTATGCTGTAATAAGTTATGTGACTGTGGTCTCTTTCTCCGTCAGTATATCTTATTACACCGCACTCACCCATCTTCTTGTGATGAGGCTAAAATGGCTATGTGATTAGATGAAGTGAGGTGAATGACACAAGGCACCGTGATGGCATTAGGCTGTGGCTGGCCTTCTGATAATAGGTCAGAAGGAGGGTCATCTGCTTCCAGACCACAGTTTGGTGTGGAGAACAGACTGTGGAAAGCAAAACCACAGATAAAGGGGGGACTACCATGCTGACACATATTTTTGCCTACTTTATGTTATGGGTAGTTGTCCCCAGGCCAGTCCCTTCCGCTGAGATCATAGCCCTTGGAGGGCAAGGATGGTTCGATTTCACTTTGGAGCATCCTTGGCACCCCACCTGTGGCTTGACACATTGAAGATCCTCAAAATATGTTTGTTGAACGGAATTCAAAAGAAGAGCTACAGTGGTGGGCAGTCTACTAGGGCAGATTGTGGGGGCTTATCGGTCAGGAGCTCAAAGCTTGTCTCCTCTCCCTGCTGAGACTGTCCCTAATCCCTGCATCTCTGAGCTACCCAACTTCCCTTCCAGCACTTGGTGCCTTTTAGGAGGACAGACACAGTTACAGCAGGATGGGGAGGTGTTTCTGTCTTTGAGTAATTTTGAGACAAAGGCAGCTAGCAGAGTGGAGAGAAAACATGGTGTTTGAAAGAGCCTTGAACAAAGGCCTGCATAGTGGTTAATTCCTGTCAGCTCGACTGGTTACAGGGGCCAGGTGAAACATCATTTCTGGGTGTTCCCAGATTCAATCAGCATTTGATTTGGTGGGCTCAGTAGAGCAGATTGCCCTCCCCAGTGGGAGTGGGCCGCATCCAATCAGTTGAGGGCCTTTAGAGAGCAAAAGGCAGAGCAATTTGCTTTTTGCCTCCTGCCTGCCCACAGAGTTGGGACATAGCCTCTCATCTTCTCCAGCCCTCAAACTGCAGTTTACACCATTCGCTCCTCTGGTTCTCGGGCTTTCTGACACAGATCAAATTATACCGCCCACTTTCCTGGGTCTCCAGTCTGAAGTTGGGAGAGCGTGAGGCTCCTCAGCTTCCATAAGCATGTAAGCCAATTCCTCATAATAAAACTTTGTATGTACATATATATCCCCTTGGTTCCATTTCTCTGGAGAACTCTATGACAGCTTGTCTCTACCTAATTGGCCGTAAGTCTTTATGAGACTCTTCTGTAAACTTCATTCTATTTAGCTTTGAAGTGGGAACAATGCTGTCCTCCCCTGTGCTCACTGCAAAAAGGAGTGTGTCTATTGATGTAGCAAGCATTCATTAAGCACCCACTAAGTGTCAAGCTTGGTCCTCGGTATACAGGATTCTGTCTGTTGGCAAGGTGCTTTGGGCTCCTTTGGAGGAAGCATCCGTTGAATTTTCAGTTTTAGCAAATAACCATTTCCCACAGATGCAGTGGGTCACTGCATGGGGAACTCCCTCCTGCGGGCCTGATCTGGAGCCTCAGACCTAGAGGGAGGCTGAGCACCTTGACGAGGTATGTTCTCTCCTCACAGATGCTTTGGGAAGTGGATTGGGGGCTCCTCACCTGAGGTCTGTGCTCGCTAGCTCAGATGCCTTTGCCTGACCCCAGCCTGACCCACTCAGAGGAGAGGAAGGCAAAGAGGCAAAAAGCCTGCCCTAGGAGTCAGGAGACTCAGTGCTGGAATGCCTCTGTTACTGACGGGCTGTACGATCCTTAAACACCAGCCCCACCAGCTCACCTGTGAAATGGATACACATCTTGCAGGTCACATAGATATGTAGAGATGTGTCAATTAAAAGACATTTCAAAGCATGAATTTCCACAGAGGAAGTATTTGACTTGCAAGGCGGGGGGAGGGGGGAGTCATTGCTGCCCTCGGGCAATGACAGGTTTGGGTATGGGGGCAGGGCAGGGCATGCAGTAAGACAAAGCCAGATGCACTCACCGTCCTCACACAGGTTCAGCTTGGACAGGCTCCTGCCGTCAAAGGGCTCCTCAAAGATGGAGTTGGTGTCCCGGTCGCTCACCGTGTGCAGGTACATGGCTTTGTTCTCCATTCTGATCTGCAGCAGCAGCAGGAGGGACAGAGAAGGGAGAGGAGAGGGAGGAAGGGGGCCGGGAGAGAGAGAATAAACTATAGGCAGACAGAAATGAACTCACCGAACAAGGCACCCATCCCCAAGATTCTGAGCCTGAACACCAGTAGTCCCTCATGGACGGGTACCATCTACCAGGTCCTCGGGATCCCAAGTCTCCGCCCAGCTTCCTCGGTGCTTGGGAAGCATTTATTAAGCACCCACTTAATTTCTGATCACTGGATCCATCCATTCGTTTCAACAGCCCTTGGTTGGGGCCAGAACCTGAGCCAGAGGGGCCATGAGGGCCATGCTCGGTAGGGCCTGGAGGGGCCTCTTGACCCCAGTGGAGTGATCTCCTAGTCTCTAGAAATTTGAGCACATTAGAAAGACTTGGGCTCCTGCTCTGTGTTGCAAATGTGCTGACCAGGCTGGCATGTTCCAAAGGAGCTGGGGTGCTGCTCCCACTTTGGGGTGCTGGAGCTGCTGCAGTGGGACCGCAGCAGGGATTCATCTCCCAGGCAAGCCTGAGGAGCAGGCGGCCTTGGTGGAGTGCCCCGGACACCAAGACCTGGGCAGCCTGAGACCAGGGGAGGGGCCAGAGTCTTCATGGGCTCCTGAAGCCAGGTCACTGGGGCTCAGAGTCTATCCCATAGTGTTCTAGGAATGTACCCACTGACTTGGGAAAAAGGCATCCGATTTGAAGTAAACCAGCACCATTTCCGGAGTGTATACAATGCCATCCCATTTTGTAATATATACATGTGTCCTGAGTACGTGACAAGAAAGATTACATTTGGAGATGCTCCAGGTTGTTCTGTATCAGAAGACTGGTGGGGATTGTGGGGATTTTGTGCTTATTTTTGTTTGCTGGATATTCTGGGTTTTCTCCAATGTGTTTGCATTCTTTGTGTAATAAGAAAAACCTACTTTGGGAGACAAATTAAAAAGTGTTTATTTAACATAAAACACTTACTACTCTCTTTTTTTTTTCATATAAGCTCAGTGATTTGACAAATTACTTTCTAATTTCAGCTCCGTTCCAGCCATAAGTTTAGCTTGACCTTTGGTCCTGATGCTCTTGGACTCTCTGGATATTGAACCAAAAATCCATTTTTAAGAGCAAATTCTTTGGAAGATAAAAGCTGCTGGGAGGATGAATGGGTCCCAGGACTGGTGTGGAGCAAATTCAACTCTGAGGCCCAGAGAGCTGAGCCAGGGGTCTATCGCTTGAGAAAAGATGACAGGGACCTAGCAGGTGGCATGGGGGTGGGGGGTGCACAATGCCTGAAGGGAGAAGCCAGTCAGTTCCTCTTCGGAGGCAGTGGGACAGGAGGCATTGGCATCGTGTCAGTAAACAGGGATAATCAAAGAGGAGGCTGGCTGAACCGCTCTGGCAGGCAGAGTCAAACCTAAACCCCTTATTTTCATGGCTTGACGTTTGTCTCCAGAGACCTCTGACTTCAGGGCTGAGAAGAGGTCGGACCGGGCCAGCTGCCATACAACTGTCCTTCCGATGGCCCAGGAAGGACGGACAGGGGCTTCTTCAAGTAAGGAGAGGCCGCCTGGCCTGCACGGGGTGTGCACACGCACACGCACGCACGCACGCAGAGGCGGGCAGGGTGTTCACAGTCTCTGTGGGCCTTTTCTTCCAGCCTGCAGGAGACGGGGGCAGCGGGAGCTCGCAGCTCTGCCAGGATCTCCCCTCCCTGCCCCAGGGGTTCCCGGGAGCCCCCAAACCTCTCCCACCCAGCTTCTCTGTGCTGCAGTTATGTCCGGTTTGCTAACCTCCCAACACCCGTGCTCCATCCAAGTTCTCCACCCACTATGAGCCTCTAGGTGGGGCCTCCTGAGCGACTCCACTGCTGCTAAGCTGCAGGGGACCCTCCCTTGTTTCACAAGCACTAAGTGCTGCACCCCTCCCTCTGGCCTGGGGAGCTGCAAAGCAGGAGGCCAGTGTCTCTTCTGCAAGCGATAATCCTCTCTCTGCCAAAGGCAACAGGCACTGCTGCCCAGAGGTCTGCTCGGTGGGGTGCTGCCATGCTGGCGGTGGGGTGTGGAGATGAGCTCGGGCCAGGTTAGCCCCATCTTCATTTCCACCTTCCCCTCTTCTGATCAGCCCCTGGGCCACAGCTGGAATGCACAGCTCCTTATCTGGAATGTGTCTATAGGGCGGCCCCTTCTCTACCCCTCTCCCCACCCCTGGGCTAGTGGAGCAGGAGCCCTGGGGAGCCTGCTGAGAAGAGAGGCCCCGGGCCGAGCAGAGGCCAGATGTGAGTGAGATGAGATTGGAAGTGTTTGGCCAGCTCTGCTAATGTTTGTTACTTGGGAAGGAAACCTAAGAATGTTCTGTCTGCCCCAGGTTTTATTTTGAGCTATTTTTCTTTCTTGGGAAATGAGGGGCAGGAATTTGAACCCTTCGATCATTGGTCTTACTGCCTTTGGGGCCAAGTTTGTGCTCTCGAGCAAGGTGCAAACTCACTGCCAAGTGTGGTGATAATAGAGACGATGTGTACGCCTTGCGTGTGCTCATGCCCCATTGTCATCCGGATCTCTCTGCCCCCCAGGACCACTGTGAGGGGGTCAGGGAGCGTCAGTGTGTTGCTTCTGCTTTAAAGATAAGCCAGTCCAGGCCCCAAGAGGCAAGAGGCAATGATGTCAGGCAAGGGTGAGGCACCAGGGAAAGGCGTCCCACCCAGGGCACGGACCCAGCCACAGGGCTGTTTCGTCCAGAAAGCATGTATTTGTCCCTCTCAGGAGCCACCTTTAGGGGTTCCAAACGAGGCAGTGAAGAGGGTCAGTGGGAGCCCTGGGGCCAAGGAAAGGATCTAAGAGCAGGAAGGGAGGGGACCAGGACAGTAGAAACATGAGCAGGGTATGGATGCCAAAGTGACATAAGGAGAAATCTCAAGGAGCTTGGAATTTTGTGTTTCAAGTCAAAGGATGGGGCCTTCCTCCCCCAGGGACGGGACACCTTACTGTCCTCTTAGGGATGCCTTGATGCTACATAGACAACCATAGCTTCACCCCACCAGGTCTGGGTGGGGTGGGCGGGGTGCTCAGAGGATACGGGGTCTTGTCCTGGAGTCACTTCCTACTCCTCAGGAACCTGGCCCAATCCGCTGAGCTCGTTCAGCCTCAGGTCATCACCTCTGTGAAGGGGAGAAGCGCATCTGCCAGCCACTCAGTTATTTCCAGCCTCCAGTGGAATAGTGCACAGGGAAGGGCTTTACGAGCAAGGGTACACGGCAAGTTGGAGCTGGGAGTCCGGAGAGAAACACCCCCCCACCCCCAACCCTGGCATTTTCTGATCCTGCCAAGTAGTTAGTGAGGGGAGAGGGGCGCGGTCTCTAAGTTCCTGAGGCTTCCCTCCTGCCAGTCAGGCCCAGAAACAGTGCTCTTTGGGGTTCCCTTTGCAAACAACAATCATGAATACGGACCAGAGCGAAATCTGGACCCTTACTCAGGGCAAGTCACTCTCGGGGCAGCAGAAGGGTTCGACTGATTCTTCCTGCTGAAGGTGGCATGAGCCTCACCTGTTGCTGCAGAGACAGTGCGTCTGGGTTCCAGCATCTAAATCTGCTGGGCTCGCATCTTCTCTTTGAATGGCATAGCTTCAAACTCACTGAAACCAAGTAAAAATCAGGGGGCCCTCTCCTCTAACAGTTCCCCTAAATCAGAACCCGAAGCTGGAAAGGTGCAGATGTTAAGCTCTCCCTTCACAGGTCCCACCCGTGGCATGCACAATGCACACACACTTCACACACTTAGCCGCACAGTCGGCTCCCGCCATAGGCTCCAAGATGTGACACCGACCAGGTAGAGTTGCCACTAAAGCAACAGCGTCCGCAAAGCCAGGCTCACACCGGCTGCATCCCCACAGGCCCACAGCTGGAACCTTCCCACCTGCCGCTGCGACCTCGGGCTGCACATCCTGAGATGCCTGCACGTAGCACCCTGCTCCCGACGGCCACATCCAGGTCCCCCACAGCTGGGGGACCCTGCCTCTGGGACACTAGGCTCAGGTGCCAGGACAGAGTTAGTGCCAAGACTCACCTGAGCGCCCCCCGCGGAGGCCGCAGAAGCGCGGGTCTGCTCAGTTCCGGGCATTCCCCATGGTGACCGAAGAGCTGGCCGCTGTCACTGCACTGAGACCCAGGCAGCCCCGCACAGCTCGTCCCCACAGCCAGCCAAAGCCAGACGGAGGCATAGAAAGAGGCTGCCCCGGTGCTCAGTCACTTGTCTTAGGGGTCACTTCTCCAGGAGGGTCAGGGCAGGAGGCAAGACTCAACCCTGGGGCCTGAGTCAGGCCTGTGGTTGGGGAGTCCCTGTGTTGTTGGTGCCTCGCCTCAGTCAGCCACAGGCAGCGCTCGGGAGGTGTTCTGTGGAGGCACCAGCGGCCGTGCTAGATGCTGACTGAGATGGGAACTGCAGCTGCTTGGGCCGCCGCGGGTCTTTATAAATACAAAGTTCTGGGAGCAGTCGCGGAAGCTCCCCTGGGGTCTGGAATACATCCCCCCTCTGGTGGCCAATCTCAGCATTGCAGCCCCGCCGTCCTCCCCGCCCACTCCAGAGCCGGGAAATCCTCCTCCACTACGGACTCCGCACTCCTCACCTAAAACCCGACGCAGATGAATTTTTGGAAAGCTTCTACAGGAATGGCAGCTAGACCTGGCTCAGGAGCCACGCAAGATACCAGTCTTACAAACTTATTTAAAGGACCGAATTTGCATTGCTCAATTCATTCACCAAACTTGGCTTAGAATGAATTTATGTATTTTTCTGTGGTCACATCCACCGGCAAAGGACACGGACTGGCCACACGGGAGCTCTGCAGAAGAGTGTTCTGTGAGTGCTGCAGGAACTCTGCAAAGACAGTCTCAAAGCACCTTGGTAACAAAACCAGAGCTTAGGGAGCAGTGACACTGCATGAGGACTTGGGGATCCAGGAGTAAGAAGGGCTCCCTGACCTCAAGGGGGTTGCAATCCAGGAAGAGGGGGCCCTCAGGCACAAATAACTGTAAACCTAAGCAGGACCGAAAACATTTTCAAGAGGCAATCTCTCCAAAATGTTAAGAGAGTAATTACATTCAGATTGGGGTGGCGATAGGGAAAGGTGTCAGGAAAATTGCAAAAATAGTTTGAGCCACTGGCCAGCACTGTCAATTTACAAGGCACGCCCCCCCAGCTCCCTTCTATCACCACCCCCCTCCCCACCCTGAGGATAGAGCTCTGAAGGTTATGGTCACGAAGACACCTCCCCATTTATTGGTTAAAAATTCAGTCTCGATACTAGAAGGTCAGATCTCGTACAAGAGGGCAGTTTGCCAAGGCTCAGCCTTCCCCACAGTGTAGCTGCCAACCCACAACTGAGTCAGAAATGTCCTCATCATTTTTAGTGACTGAACCTTCCGACCATCTTTGGGAGGCAGCTCTGATTTGAGGCTCCGTTTCACAGAGGGAAAACACAGGAGTAGTAATAATAATAAAATAATAATAAAATAGCTAGGGGATGAGATGGAGGAGCAGGCAGGAGGAGGAGGAGGAGAGGCAGGGGGCTAAGGGTAGGGGAAAGGGAGAGGCAGGAAGTGGAAGAAAAACACTTTAAGTCTATACCATGTGCTAGGCCATTCAGAGGGCTTTCCATATATTAACCCTGTGAGGTAGGTCCTGTTATTATTTCCACTTGTAGAGACAGAGACACTTAGTAACTTGTCCAAGGTCAAACAGCATAGAGCCCCAGAGCTAGGTTCTGCCCTAGGCAATGTTTCGTGCCCTAACCATGAAAAAGTATCCTTTAGGTACCCATCAATTCACAAACATCCCTAGGAATGCAATCTTAAAAACAGCTAGAACTGTGCTCAACACGTTCTGTCCACGGATCTTTGATGTGGGGATGTGCATATTGGCAAGAAATGCCTATGGGTTAGTAAGACCTTGGTGATGTCCTCCTTCACCTAAAACAAAGAATACTTTTTAATACTCCCACACTGGTGTGCCCTTGCTTGGAGGGAGGGCAGGAGGGGGACCCAAATGCAGTCCCGGCTATTGGCTGAGCCTCTCCTTACCACTGATAATCAATGATACACAAATGGCAGAGTCTGGTGTCTGCCCATGAGACCCACAAGCAGGCACAGAAACGTTAAACTGTAACATTTCAGGAGGAGCAAAGCTTATCCTTTTAAACCCTGTAGCTTCAGGCAAAGGGCCATTTCTGACTTTTGTTTCTGGTTCACTGCACTTCTTATAGTGGTAAGATTTGTCCATGTTGTTGCATATACAGTGGTTCCTTCTTTGATTTTTATTTTGTACTGAGTAATATTCCATAGACCACAATTTGCTTATTAGCCTGTTGAAGAGCATTTGGGCTGTTTCCGATCTTTTGTCTACTCTGAGTACAACCACCCAAACAAGCAAGGGCACATTTGATAGTGAAGTACAAGAATGACCCGCAGGCCAAGTTTTCTAATGGCTGAGAGTCCTTCAGACAGGTGGTAGCTCAAATGACACCTCCTTGTCACCTAAAATCAGAATGGCCCCAAAAATGGTTTGTTTCCATTCAGTCACAGAAGGCATTTATAATAGGCATTTTCCCCCCAGAAAGTATTATGAAAATGTGATTGCACTGAAAGAGAGTTGAACACACTTCTGACTTCTGGATGCAGAAGCCAGTCAGGCCCACCGGAACACAGTCCATATGCTCACTTTTCCTGCAGTCTTTGAATGATTTCATTTGAAAGTCATTTCATTTGAAGTCACCCAGTGACTTTCTAGGGTGGGGGTGGAGAGGGAGTTATCATCCCCTGTCTCAGTAGGGAGGAACTGAGCAGTGTTGAACCTGAATGGCACGATGCTGGGCTCCTGGACACAACATCCAATCCACAACTGTCCTTGACCTCCAGAGCATCTACATCTGCAAGGAATGCTTCCATACATTCCATTATTCATTCAACAAACATCTGTTGTGTACCTTTAGGCAGGGTATTCCAAATCTTCTTACAAACGTGAATTAGACCCAGAGCCCATCCTTCAGCATCTGGCCCAGGGGTCAGAGTCAGTCAGAGTCAGACTAGTGGCCTATTCACTCTAATATTTTTTACCTGAAGTCGGAGTCTGTAATTCCTGCTCTCTGTGCCTCTCCATGGACACCAACCGATCTCTGCCTGGTAGATTTCCGTGGGCAGTTCCATGTGCCTGGAATGACTCCCCCAGATGTTTGTAAGTCTCACTCCTTTGCATCCCTCCAACTGTTTCTCCAATATCACATTCTCAGGGAAACTAAACCTAGTGGTCCAGTTTCAAATTGCTGTCTACCCCTGAGCACAGCTGATTCTCCTTACCCTGTTCCACTTTCTTTTTCTTTTCCATCACCCTCATTGACTTAACTTACTATGTAATTTGCTATGCTTGTCAGTGATGACTAATGTATTATTTATGGTCTCTAGAAGATCAGCTCCATGAAGGCAGCTCATTTACACCTCCCAAAGGCCTGGAACAGTGGCTGGTGCATACTGAGTGCTCAATAAATATTTGTTGGCTGAAGATCTGTGGAAAGTGCATCCTAGGTCCTGGGAACAAGGCGGTTCTAAGGTCCCAGTATGGAAACACAGCGGACATTCTGGAGGGGCAGACAAGAGGTCTGTGTGGCTGGAGAACAGAAAATTCAGATGAAGGCAAAGAGCCACAGGGCCTGAGTCTTACTCTGGGTAGAGCTTGAAACCCAGGCTGCTGCTCTTTCTATGTGACTCCCTCTTCTCACAGGGCACACAAATGTTATTATGTTATATCTTCACTCTAATTTGCTATTTCTTTAATTTCTAAAAATTTTTAATTGTACTAAAGTACACATGACATAAAATAGACCACCCTAACCATTTTAAGAGTACAGCTTAGAAACACCACTCCCACCCAACTGCAGAACTCTTTTCATCTTACAGAACTACACTAACTGAACTAACTACTCACTAACTAACTACCCACTGAACACTAACTCCCCGTTTCCCCCACCTCCTGGCCGCTGGCAGCCCCCAGTCTGCTTTCGGTCTCTACAAACTTGACTGTCTAGTGACATTGCTGTTTCTTCGTTTGAGGATTTGTGGCCCTCTCCATAAAACATATGTACATATATGTACATATACATATACATATACATACATATGTATATATATTTTTAACATATATTCTTTTTTAAAAAAAGAATTTATTTATTTATTGGACAGAGAGAGAGCAAGCACTGGCAAGGGGAGCTAGAGGCAGAGGGTGAGGGAAAAGCAGGCTCCCCACCGAGCAGAGAGCCAGACGTGGTGCTCGATCCCCAGACCTTGAGATCATGATCTGAGCCAAGGGCAGATGCTTAACTGACTGAGACACCCAGGTATCCCCAAAACATATATTCTTAATTTTTGTCTTTAGAATTTTCTTTTTCTCTAGTTTTTAATGCAATGTATGTGAAGTATAAATATTTCAAAAAACAGTTTTTGTCCATTGTTCACAAACCAGTGTTCATCTTTTCCTATTGTTCAGCTTTGCAGAATATCCTGGTGACAACTATGTCATTTCTCAAAACCCAGAATTTGGAGTTGCCTATTTTTTTCAAAGTAACTACTGTTTCATTATACAATAAATCTCATCAACTTAAGGCTTTTTAAGGAGATAGTTTTGGTAAAAAGTGGTTATTATGCACACAAAGTGATATCAGAATTTGGCTTTTGTGACTTTATAACATTTTGTATGCCTTCTGACTCTCCATCTTATTGTTTTTCTGAAATCACCCCAGACAGCAACCCCCTGCCCTCTGCCAATAAGAGCTAAATGTGAGGGAGCGAAGACAGATCCAAAGAATAGGGCTTCCAAGTGAAAAAACAGCCCAAACCTCTGGGAGAGTCTATGCCTGATCGGCCTGAAGTCATTCTTGGTGATTTTTAGTTCCTCCTCTGGAACTTCCTATATCTTCCCCCACAAAATAATTATGCATACTCTATTAATTGGAAAAAATACAATAACCTCTTAAAAAGATGGCTCCGGGCACCTGGGTGGCTCAGTGGGTTAAAGCTTCTGCCTTCAGCTCAGGTCATGATCCCAGGGTTCTGGGATTGAGCCCCACATCGGGCTCTCTGCTCAGCAAGGAGCCTGCTCCCCGCGCGCCCCCTCACCCGTCTGCCTCTCTGCCTACTTGTGATCTCTGTCTGTCAAGTAAATAAATAAAATCTTAAAAAAAAAAAAAGATGGCTCAGACTTTGTAAGGCTGAATTAGGGACAAGGCCCTAGATTTAAAGTGTCAAGTCCAAACTCTAATCTGAACCATTCCTGGTTGCATGTCCTTGGGCAATCACCAGACTTTCTGGTCTCAATATTCTCAGTAGACCTAAAGATAATCATCTCTTATCATGGGGTAGTTGTGAGGATCAGATGGGATAAGTTAGATGATAGTATGAGCCTACAA